CCCCGTGCCCGAGATCAGGTCATGTCTGTTAGCTGTATGGCATCCCCATATCAGAGCCTGGTCACCTCTGTATTTCCCTCAGTACATGCTACACAATGCATAGCAGGGTTTTCAGGGTGTTTGTTTATCGAGTATTTTCTTTTCTTTCTTTCTTTCTTTTTTTTTTTTTTTTTTTTTTTTTTTTTTTTTTTTTTTTCCCCGGGGGTTGTATTCCTCCCATGAGAGAGGAAAAGTGAGAAATTACACCCCCTCCGGGGGTGGCCATGATTCAGTTTCTTCTCCTCCATTGTCCTTTCAAGATCTTTGGCACACACTTGTGCCTGGGGTGATTTTCAAGTTGCTGGGTCCAGGACTCAATCCCTGGTCAGCCATGTAGAAATCCAGTGCCTGGACCGAAACTCTGCCTGCAGGCCCTTCCTGAACAGTTTCTGTGTGCCCAGCACTGTGATCGCTCTAGGGATACAAAGATGAATCAGACCCGGCCTCCGCTCTGAGGCACATAATTACGTGGGGACACTTTCGTATTAACAGGTACTTGCACTATAAGATGATAAGGACGTGGTAGAGATATACATGGCATATTCTGGGCATGCAGAGTTGGGAGCATCTAAACTAGCCTTTATGTCCTAGAGTGTGTTGGTCTGAGTTAAGTTTTACAATAAATTGGTCTTAAGCAGGAGGGGGCAGGAAAGAGGATTGCAGGTGGAAGGATCAACACGGCAAACAACATGGGCCCAGAGTTGGCGTGCTGTGCTCTGTGCAGCTCAGTGCTGCTGGACTGTGGGGTATGAGGCGACAAGAGAGGGAGGAGGGGGTCAGGTCACAGTAGGCCTTGGACGCCACATCAAGGGTGTGGGATTAATCTGTAGGTAATGGTGTTTGTTTTAGACTTTTGCCATAGGATGTGTGGGCTTACCAGAGACAGTGAGAGGAAAAGTGAAAGATCACCCCCAGGGGAGACAGCCATGCTGCAATCCCTTCTCCATTCTCCTCTTGGGATTTTGGGCACACATGCACATGTGCCCAGCGTGATTTTCAAGCCTCCAGGTCTGGGACTTGAACTGCAATTAGTCATGTGGGAGTCTAGTGCATTAACCACCATGCCATTTGCTGGCCCTCAGGTGATGGGTTTTAAGATCAGCATAGTCGATTTTCATTATAGAAAGATAACTCTGGAAACTCTATTGAAAATGGATTTGAAGGGCCAGGGCTGGAGAGAGTGGTCAGGGCATTATTCATTTGCCTTAGGCACATGTACTCACTGGGGGGTGGGGGTGGGTGGAGACAGAGACAGAGAGACAGAGATAGTGAGAGGGAAAGTGAGAAATCACCCTCTCCCCCAAGGGTGGATGGCTACACCGCAATCCCTACTCTTCCATTCTCCTCCTGGGATCTTGGGCATGCACACACATACGTCCCAGCATGAGTTTCAAGCCACTGGGTCCGGGATTCAAACAGCAACTGGGCATGTAGGAGTCTGGTGACGGAACCACAACGCCATCTGCTGGTCCCAAGCGATGAGAATCTTAACAAAGACAAACACAATAAAAAATACTATCATTATCACAAACAGCCACTGAAGGCTTCTGATAAGTCAGGCACTAAATAAGTTTACTCATTTAGCACCACTCCGACAGAGACGAGGTGGAGAGAAGGGGATAAGGAGGTCAGAGCTAAGTTTGAGAGAGTAACATGTGCAGGACTTCTCAGAGAGGAACAGAGAAGGGTCGAAGCTCGCTTCAGGCTCTGAGGCTGGACGGATAGTGCTGCTGTCAAGTTTAGAAGTAAGATGGTGAAGTCGTGTCAGACAAGGTGGGACTGAGACCCCTTTCCGGAGCGAATGTGCAGGTAGCTGAGATGATGCCAGTACTGTGGAGAGAGAGGAGAAATGGAGACCGAGCACTGGAAGAGATTAGGAATGGATGACACTGGAAACAGTGAGTGTGGATGAAGACTCCCAGGGAGAACAAAGGGGCAGAGGACCCAGGGTGCCCATATTTAGAGAGCAGATGGAGAAGGAGGAGTGTGTGAAAAAGAAACAGAAGCAGGCTTCAGAGGGTTAGGGTTAGAGTTTGGGAACCCAGGGGAGGAGCATGTCATGGAAAACAAGGAAGTAGGAAATTTCAGGGAGGAGAGAGACCACCAAAGGCAGCAAAGTGGTCTGGTAAGATGAAAACTAAAAACCCTCACTGAGTTTGGCGATTAAGAGGTGGCCCTGATAAAGTCACATTTGGTGGCAAGGTGGAGGCAGAAGCCAACACGTGGTCTGTAAGAAATGGTCAGGTAACAAGAAGGCAGAGTATGTGAAAGCAGAGAGGAAGATGCCCGGATGGTTGCTTTGGGGACTATGTCACATAAAGAACACTTTAATTTTTTAAGAGGTATTTTTGCTATAGGCACATGTGTTCTCAGGCAAGACAGAAAGACAGAAAGAGCTAAATCACCCCCCGGGGGAATGACCAAGCCCTAATCCCTTCTCCTCCATTCTCCTCTTGGAATCTTGGACACACATGCATATGCGCGTCCAGCCTGAGTTTTAAGTCACCAGGTCTGGGACTCGAGCCATGGTCGACTCCGTGGAAATCCAGCAATGCAACCATTACACCATTTGCTGATTACCCAAAAAAATTTTTAAGAGAGATTTTTGCTATAGGGTGCATGTACTTGCCTGAGAGACAGCGGGAGATAGAGATAGACAGTGAGAAATCACTCCCTGGGGGCATGGCCATGCTGCAATCCCTTCTTCTCCATTCTCCTCTTGGGATCTTGGGCACACATGCACATGTCCCACGCATGAGTTTTAAGCCGTCAGGTTCGGAACTTGAACCTCGGTCAACTACATGGAAGTCCAGTAACATAACCATTACCAGCCATCTGCTAGCCCAGTAAAGAAAATATTTTATTTTCAAGGATGGGACAGATTCAAGCAATGCTCACAGGCTGAGGAGAAAGAGCCCCTAGAGAGACTGGAGATTAGGAGAGGATGATGGTACTTGATGGAACTGGTCCAAAAAAAGCCCAGAGGACAGTACAGTGAGTGGGCGGTCCTCAGGCAGGTGCAAGGGCCGTGGTGTGAGAAGAGTCAGAGGAATCAGATACGTGCCATGTGATCCCTTGTAGAGTGGGCTAACCTGGTCCTATTTTCAGGAGAGGAATCTAAAAATATAGAACCAGAGCTCCAACACCTTTCATACTTCATTCTACTTTGGAGTTTAGACCCCAAGGAACAACTCCTTCCTGCCAAAGCAGACAAAAATAGAACCTCAAATTGAGTCAAAGATGGAGTTTGGAGTAGCATTGTTTATATTAGTAATAATTAAAAAATAAACCTGGAGATAACCTGAACACTAAACAAAAGAACAACTAAATGGGGATCATGTATAGCTATTAATAGTGGCAAGTTTCTGTCTTAACTTCTTCGCAACTTAGAAATAGCTTGGCAGTAGAGTGTGCAGTAAGAAGCAATGGTTTAAGATGATGGTTGTCTGCAGTAGCCTCGGTTAATAATTTAAAACCATCTTGAGTATGTCAACCTGATGAAAGAATGCGAATGCCTCGGGCAAGGACACCCTGTTTCGAAACAGCCTGCAGTGCTTCACTGGCGACTGTCAGATCTGATCATCAACCTCATTCCCCTTCGTGGCTTTCAGATTTGCAACATCATGAACGCACCTGCAGAGGACTTTTTTGCATTTCAGGTAAATTAATTTTTATTTGCTCTGGTAGTCACATGATTTTTTTTTTCCTCCAAGAACATTAGAAATACATTAGAATCCACCTACTCTATTGAGAAGTAGTCTCAATAAAGTGGACACACGAGTAGGGAAAATTCACATGCTAATGGAAGTGGGAAGGGAGTTACTGGGTAATTTCCAAGCCCCTTCTGCTTTTTATTTTTAGATTTTTTCCCCCCATAGGGCATGTGTGCTTGTGCAAGAGAGAGAAAGAGAGAGAATGAAAAATCTCCCCAACTCCCAGAAGGGATGGCCATACCGCAATCCCTTCTTCTCCAGTATCCTCTTGGGATTTGGGAACACACACTCGTCTGGCATGTTTTTCAGGCCACTGGGTCCAAGACTCGAACTGTGGAGTTGGCCATGTGCGTTCCAAAGCCTCAACTACCAGGCCACCTGCTGGCCCAGCCCCTTCAGTTTTAACATTCATACCCTTTGTTTTCTGGCCTTGGGACTTTTGCTTATGCTGTTCCCTCCTTGACCATGGCCTCCTGCCCACGTCACCTCTGCACTTCAACACTAACTTCAAAATCTACCACTTGGCCAAGTTTTATTCAGATTTTCCAGAAGAAAAGTCTCTTTCCTTGGAATTTTCATGGGATACTGCTTAGTATCCCATTTGATTTTGTTTGTCCTTTTCCCCTCCTTTTCCACAAATGTTTCTGGAAGACATCCTCTGTGCCAGGCATCGGCACACTGTTACACTGGCTACAAAGGTGGACCAGACAGGCCCTCTGGGCTCCGGATTGTATGGGGAGAGAGACACACAAGGTGGTGGTGTTCAGGGGAGGGGCAGGAGGATGGAGGAGGGCATCTCTAGTGTGGGGAGCTGATTCATTCTGGGAGGAATCAAGGAAATGTGTCTGTGAGGAAATTGTGTTTGGACAATAAAGAGAGGGGAGAGACTGAGAAAAGAGACAGCTTCCTGGAAGGATCTAGAGTAACTAACACATCTGAGTAAGAGACTGAAAAGGTGAATGGAAGGAGAAGATTCTAGAGAAGCAGACCTGGGCAGGCCGTGCAGGACTGGAAGTGCATACCAAGGAGTTTGCCTCTTACCACATTTTTCCCTACTTCATCTTTTATTATGCTTAACTTATGTTTTACACTGAGTTCTCTCAGTAAAACACTGGCTTTCCTTGGTCAAGGGCTGGTCTCATCCTTGTTGAAATCCTCAGTTCTAGGTGCTCTGTCCATATTTTAGGGGTTTAGAATACTAGCTATAAGAAAAACAAATCACTAGCAATTAGGAAATAATTAAGAAAATACTAGAAATGAATATTGGGAAAATCGGTAATTTTTTTTCCTCATAATCAAAGCTTTATTGAAAAACTGACACCAAAATAGGAGATCATTGCTGTATAGCTTACAAAATCAAACATAATCACATTATCTTGGCAGATTAACTAGAATTACTGAACTTATGATAAGGCTTTCCGTGAGGAAACAACACATTTAGCAAGTTGCGTACATCATTAGTATTGCTTTCTTCTAAATGAACAACCTTCTGTGAGTCTGGCGTTTCCCCAGGTTGGCTGGCACAGCACTGGTGAACACCCGCCACAGAACCACTGTCTGAGCATGACCGAAGACCGTAGTGATCTTATAGCAGCCTGGACATTTTACATCCATGAAGTAAGAATTTGGACTTTGAACTAGCCGCTGATTTTTATGTTTGTTCTTTTCCTCTTCCAAGGATGGATGCAGTAAATCTCTAGCCAAAGGCATCTTGGTCCCTTCGTGAGCCCTGACCATCAGGATCAGTCAGGCGACACCCCTAATGAGCCGAAAATCAGTAATTTTTTAACTCTTTCATGGACTTTATCAAAGAGTTTACAGTGAATCTGCTTTTAAAATTAAAATTGCGTTTTATATATTGTGACCGTAACCACATCAATGTGACAAAGCTAAAGAGTTGCTGAGAATTGCTAACCTGATCATAACCACAATATAACATGGTCTTTCCCCATGTCATCCAGTTGATTCCAGTTTAACCACATTAGTCAAAGAAATTTAATCTTATTTTTAGAGTCTAGTCTTCCCCCACAACTCATCTTCCACAAAATAGCCTGGGTGATTAAAAAAATTAAATAAAAAATATCAAATAACTTCCTTGTTTAAAAAGCCTTAATGGTGACCCATTTCGCTTTCCATGAATTATCATGACCTTCAGAGGGAAGAGATTCCCCAAAAGTTAGGGAGTTGGAGGAAAGGCATGTTGTGTTCTTGGGGTATATTCTGCATCCCTACGGAGACCGTCTCCCCTCAGGTGGGAAGACACAGCTGTCTCACTTTCTAGTGTTATTTAAATAATAATGAATATCATCTCACCACCTTAAGAATCTTGGAACTTCAGAATTGGAAAACTCATCTACTCCAGGAAGCCTTCCTTGACTTTTTTCTCTCCTCTGGCTCCCACAGTACCATGAAAGATAACTCTTAGAGAACTTTCCACACTGCAGTGTAATTGCTGGTTAACCTTTCAAACTATGAGCAACCTGAGGCCAAGATCTGGGTCTTATTTGCTTGGGTCCTCCCGGATTCTAGCTTAGTTTCTTGTATATTATAAATGTTTGGCAACTGCTTGCTCAGAAGGATCTAGAAATTAGTATAGTTATCACCATTTATTCCATAAATGATGAAAATGAGGCTTAGACAGATGGAAGATGACTCACCAAAGGCATCTCGTAAGAACGTTGATTATTCAGTGAGATACAGACTCTTGCCCATGTATAGATGAGAATATTGAGGCCTAAAGAGCTAAAAGCAATATCCCAAAGGTAGCACAGAAAGTCAGGCCAAGAGATAAAAAGTGCAGGGCATTTTTAGTTGATTAATGCAAAGTTAAGAGACTCACCAGCACCCCCTTTTAGGCCAGTCCCCTGAAGTTGGCTCCCCTATCTGCAAGGGAAACTCTATCTTCCTGGGCTGTCCCTGCACAATGTTGTGGCCCCAGCACTTAACACATGGCCTGGCACACACCCACCCTGACATTAGGGACAAATACAACATGGCTATCTGACTTAAGGGACTCTAACCAGATGAACTCTTTACTCATGTGTTTGTTGGGACTAAAACCAACCAGCTCCATCCTCTTGCCAACCCCTCTCAGATAGTCAGGGTCACAAAGCAGCATGAAACCCATCTGTCTCCTCTGCAGCCTGGTCCCCAAGGAACCCTAACCTGGCTCTTCTCTTGTAGAGAGAGCCTCTGGATGAATCTGGATGGATGATTAGAAATGTTCTTTCTATGCCAATTGTGAACAAGAAGGAAGAAATTGTTGGGGTTGCGACATTTTACAATCGGAAAGATGGGAAGCCCTTTGATGAAATGGATGAGACCCTCATGGAGGTATAGTTATTAGGGAATCTTTTGCTGTTGGCACTAAGAAGCACCCCACTGCTGGGCTTGGCCCCCAGAGATGCATGGTGGGCCCTGGCATCAGCTGCTGCCCTACCATGTGGAAGGGTCAGAAGCTCACCTGGTCTGGTACAGTCCCAACTCTGCCTTAACAATGTGTTGTCAGAAGGATCTACATTTCTTTCTTTAAAAAAAAAATTTACTTATTTATTATTTTTAAATAAAAAAAAAACTGACCAGAGAGAAGAAAAGTGAGAAAGCCAGCTGCCAGGTTCAGGACTTGAACCATGGTCAGTCATGTGGGATTCTAGTGCCTCAACCAGCACATCACCTGCTGGCTGTCCCACATTTAATTTTTTAAAAGTTGAATCAAGAAACTATTTTGTAAAGCAATTTAAAGTTTACAGAAAAATGGAGCAGAAAGTACAGAGAGTTCTTTCTGTACCCCCCGTATGCACATACACAAAATGCGTTCCCGTTGTGTAAAGTTGTTATGCAGAAGGATAATACTTTGCTTTATGTGTAATAGTGCTTTATTTAAAGTGTGTTCACATCTGTATTTTATCTTTCTCTCTCTCTCTTTTTTTTTTTTTTTTTAAATTTTCCTATAGGGCATATACACTTATCAGAGAGAGAAAGAGGTGAAGGGAAAGCAAGAAAGCACCTGCCCGCACCCTCCGGGGGGAATGACCACACCACAATCCATTCTCCTCTTGGGATTCTGGGCACACATGTGTATGCTCCTAGTGTGTTTTTCAAGGCACTGGGTCCAGGACTCGAACTGCTGAGTTGGTCATGTAGAATCCAGCTGCCTTCATCACCACGCCACCTGTTGGCTCCATTATTTTATCTTATCCTTGCAGCATCTCTGTGAGGTGGACAGCACATGGCTTAGCAAATCCATTTTATAACTGGGAAAATGGAGGTTTAGGTTTAGCCCTAAGGTAGAGTTAAGATCATATCTGGGTGTTTTGTCTCTGATTCTTCCTTCCTCTCTTTCTTTCTTCTTTCTTTTTCTTTTCTTTTCAGTCTTTGACTCAATTCCTGGGTTGGTCTCTCTTAAATTCTGACACCTATGAGTCAATGAACAGACTTGAAAACAGGAAGGATATTTTCCAAGACATAGTGAAATATCATGTGAAGTGCGACAATGAAGAAATTCAGAAAATCCTGGTGCGTAATGCTCTTTACTTGTTTCTACTCTAGCAGAGACTGCGCCTTGGAGATGCGGGCAAACTGAGGTGAGACCTCACGCTCCAGGAAGGAACAGCCTGGGTGTGGCTGCTCACTGCCGTGTCACTCCTGCCTGGTGCGAAGATATTGTGGCCCTCGAAGTAGAATGAATGAGTGGATGGATGGGTGGTTGGGTGGCAGAGTGGTGCATGATGACTGTACTGTGTGGCCTGGGGACAGCTGTACCTTGCAGGGTCACCTTAGTCATGGGGCCTGACCCTGGCTTGGCAGCTCCAGAAACTCCGTCTTTCACTGTGATCACGGCAGACTTAGCATCGCGGACAGGGTTATCCCTAATCTCAACTCTGAGAGGAAGCTGTATCTGATGTGACCGCAGGACAACGGTCAGCTTCTCAGAGGCTGCTTCGGGTGGGGTCAGCTACTTAAAAGACCAAGTAAATCACAGAAGGGTTTGGGAGCAACCTAGTTCAGAAGTAGGGAGTACTCATGCGGTTTCATGTTCACAAGGGGAATGTAGACTTCTGATCTTGCAGGTTACTCTTGAGCATTATACCTCTTAGGTAGACAGAGTAAGGATTTCTTTTTTTTCTTTTCTTTTTTTTTTTTTTTTTTTTGAGAGACTTTTGCTATAGGGCACATGCACTCGCCAGAAAGATAGAGAGATAGAAAGTGAGAAATCACCCCAGGATGGCCACGCCGCAATCCCTTTTCTTCCATTCTCCTCTTGGGATCTTGGGTGGGCACGCACACACATGCACCCGACATGAGTTTAAGCCACTGGGATCGGGACTTGAACAGCGGTCAACTACATGGAAGTCCAACAACATAGCCATTATGCCAACTGCTGTTCCTCCAGAGTAAGGATTTCTATCCTCATTGTAGAGATAAACAAACTGAAAGCCAGGAGGGACAAGAAACGTGTCCCCAGATAACCCAGCTGGTGAATGGTCTCCCTTAACCGCTAGGCTATAGAGCTAACTCTGGTGGGGTAGGAAGTGTGTACTAGAAATTTATTTTAAAGTATATAAGAATCAATGATCCATTATTCCTGGGGTTTTGATCCCAAAGAGACTGAGATTTTAGAAGTAAACTGAATTGGCCAGATGACATGGGATATAATGTTCAGCTAAAATCCAACAATTTTGGTTTCTAGGCCTCACAAATATAATGACACAGCCCAGTGTCGGTACCATGACCAATTTGACAATCTCATCCCAATAACTAGTGAATTCGGAGGAAAAACATCCAGTTTGGGTGAATTGCTTCATGATTTGCTTGACTTGGGGCATAAATCCAGCCAAATCATGGGTATAGAGCCCTTATTGGAGCAGAGCCCCCATGAGCCGGATTTTTCTCTGGGTCAAGAAGTCAGAAACAAGTAACTGGGTCCAGGCGCCCCAACCATGGGCCTTGGAGAAACAGGCCCAGAGAGACAAGGAGCTTGCCTCAAGTCAGTAAATGAGAGGAAGAACCAGGTCCATGGCCAGAGGCTCCTTACTCCCAGTCAGTAAGAACAACAATACAAACATCCATAACATTATTTTACTGCACGTCAAGCCCCGAGCTGAGAGCTTTACCTGCATTATTTAATTTAGTTCTATAACATGCTATAGAAAAATTATTTTTGCAAGATCAAATTTTAATTCACCAGTTAAGTACGTTTATTATCCCCACTCCACAGACACGGAAACCGAGCTCAAAGACATTAAATAACACTGCTAGTGAGTGGCAGAGCTTCCGTTTGGTTGCAGGGGGTCTGTGGCTTCAAAGCCCATGACTTTGAATTTGCTCATCAATGAATGTGGAATGCCAGCCTGGGGTTGGTGGTTCTATTGCAAGGACTTTGGGGGAAGGAGAAACATGGAAATGAAAATATGAAGGGATATTTAGGCCTTTGCTGTAGTAACATTTTTGCTTTTCCTCTCTCTCTCTGCTGTTTTGGGTCATGGCAGAAAACCAGAGAGGTATATGGGAAGGAGCCTTGGGACTGTGAGGAAGAGGAGCTGTCTGAGATCCTGGTGAGCTACACCTGAGCAGCTCTGGCCCAGATGTCTGCCAGCCCAGGGCACTCTTGAGAGTGCAGGGCATCTCACCGCAAAGCACGCTCCCGTCACTCGGCTCCGATCGTCCCTGGGATGGGGACAGGGTTTGGGAGGGAGGCGATTGAGGAACACTTCATGTCCTCTAATCACTTGACTCTGTTCCTTACACAGCGACAAGAGCTGCCAGATGCAGAGCAATATGAGATTAACAAATTCCACTTCAGTGACTTGCCCCTAACGGAACTGGAGCTGGTGAAATGTGGGATACAGATGTATTATGAGCTCAAAGTGGTGGATAAATTTCACATTCCACAAGAGGTGAGGTCAAAGCAAACACCTTTTGTGTTCTTTTTTCACTTTTTCTTGCTTAAAATAAACGGAACAACTCAATGAGTACCTTAAGAAGACAGTACCATCAGTGTTTGCGATCCAGGCGTTAGTCAGATGAGTCATGCATCAGAAGAGACACATATTCCTCTGAACTGGGGTGTTGTGGGGGCTTTGGCCTTTTGCAGTGGGTTCCAAAGCACTTTGTTCGGAAGGCTGTGAATAGGTATGAAGCCAAAAAGGACTCTGGTCAAATGAGGGTGGGAAGTGTGGGTCAAATCAGTTTTAAAGGGGTTCTGTCCCTGTCGGGTTCCTTACTAAGGTGTGCTGTGAATCTAGGGGGGATGCGAGACAGGCGGGGAGGGTGTGTGTGGGTTGTACAGTGCACGGAATTTCCCAGACCTGCTTGATTAAAACAGTGGTTCTGGGGGACCAGCAGTTAGCATAATGGCTATGTCGCTGGACTCCCAAGTAGTCGACCACGGTTTGAGTCCCAGACCCAGTGTCTTAAATGCAAGCCAGGCACATGTGCGTGCGTGCCCAAGACCCTGAGAGGAGAATGGAGGAGAAGGGATTGTGGCGTGGCCATCCCCCTTGGGGGGTGATTTCTCGCTTTCCGTCTCTCTGGCGAGCTCATGTGCTTTTTTCCGTCTCTCTGGCGAGCTCATGTGCTTTATAGCAAAAACACCTCTCCAAAAAAAAAAAAGCAGTGGTTCTCAAAGTGTCATCCCAGACCACATTGACACTACCTGAGATTATCAGAATTGCAAGCTCTCTCTCTCTCGCCCTCTCCCTCTCTCTTCTCTCGTCCTCTCCCCCCCCACACACACACACATACACTCTCCCCTCTAATCAATCAGACACTCTGTTTCAATAAGCTCTCCAAGAGATTCTGAAGCACACTCAAGTTTGAGAACCACTGGATTAAAAGAACCCTTTTGTTTTCCTAGACTCTCTCCTAGAAAGCCTCCATCAGCTTCTCCCAGGGTGCCAGCTCTTCAGTTCAGTTTGGAAATCACTGATGGAGCTCAGAGGAGTGACACCCACCCACCCTTTTCCCTAACAACACTACCCATTTTCATAGTATTTACCTGTTTGCAACGTGTTTGTATTATACAGCATGACGGCACCTGTTGCTGGTTCCTACCTTCTGGTCTAGTGATGGGGCTGGAGGGTCTCGGGCCTCAGGAGGGTGGACCCTGTGCCCTTGGCCAGGTGTGAGCTACTCCATTGGTGTGCATGTGTTCACAGGCCCTGGTGCGGTTCATGTACTCCTTGAGTAAGGGCTACCGCAAGATCACCTACCACAACTGGCGGCATGGCTTCAACGTGGGACAGACCATGTTCTCTTTGCTGGTGGTAGGCTGGGCCTGTGGGGCGTTGGAGGCTCGGGGTGGGCAGGACCACGTTGGCAGTGGGCTCTGGTCACACTGGATGACTTCATGCAGACTCCAATGGCAGCCATGGCATTGTTCTTCTTTCTGTTGATTGGCTTTTAAGAATTATACAAAAGGGGCCAGCAGGTGGCATGGTGATTAAGGGTGCTGGACTCCCACATGGCCAACTGTGGTTCCAGTTCCAGACCTGGCAGCTTGCTTTCTCAATTTCTCTCTGGCACTCTCTTGCTCTCTCTCTCATGCTGTTCCTCTCTGGTCAAATAAAAATAAATAAATAAATAAAGTTAAATAAAATATTTTTTTAAAAAAGAATTATGCAAAAGTAGTACATGCTTAGTATAAAAGAATTCCAAGAATAGAGAGAGAGGCACATACAATAAAAAGTGAGAGAAAGCTGCAATCCTTCTTCAAGCCCAGTCTGGTTACCTGGAGGTAACCACTGCCAAGCTCCTTCCAAATTTTCTTTTTGTAACGTAGAGACTTATTTGTGCACATACCTGGATATAGACACATACACACAGTGTATCTTGTTTATGACCGATGGAATAATATTCTATGATATGCTTGTACCATTTGAAAACAGGTAACTCAATAAACCACATTCTTCTATTAAATATATCTCACAAAAAATGTACTTTTTAAACCATTTTTGCATGTACAATTCAGTGGCATTAAGTACATTCACCTTGTTGTGCAGACATTCCCACTCTCTATCTCTAGAACTTATTCCTTATCTTAAAAGGAAACTCCATACCCGTTAAACAAGAACTCCATCTCTGGGAACTATATTCTAATTTCTGTCTCTGTGAATTCAACTAGTCTATGTAACTCACATAAATGGAAGCATCCCATTTCCAAGGTCCATCTAAGCTCTAAGGTTATCGTGGCAGAGTATTCCGTTGCTTCCATATACCAGTTTCTTCCTTGGTTGGGTGTGGAGGATGTTCTCCATCTTTCACTATTACGACAGTACTAGGAAATCCTTGGACGGACATACTTCTGTGCTTTTATGTTAATAGTTTTGGCTCAGAGAGATTTGAGCTCTTTACATTTCATTTTAAACAAGTGCCCCATTGAGGCCATGACTCAATTTTCTGCTCTTGCTTAACTTCCTCATTCTTATGTCCCTATGGTCAGGCCAGAGTAGGTGCTGGAATCGGGAGGCAGGTATTCAGCAGGCCACCATAGCTGGTGACAAGCAGAACCCTGAGATTTGGCTTATTTCTTAGGGTCTCAGCCTTAGCTCTCTGGTCTCAGCCTTAACTCTCAGCTCCTCCCCACCCTTCACTTCAACACTGGCATGAACAAGGAGTTAATTACTTAAGGGAGTCTCAGGGGAAAGATTCCTCTGGGCTGTGTTTAAACTGGTAGACCAGGTTTGGAAGGTTTGCTTTACCAGTCTGACCATGTTCAAACACTCCAAATCCTAAAACCTGATGACTATAAACTTCTCAAAAATATAGTCCAATTCTCTCCACTCCTAGTGTGCAAGTTGGGACTCTGAGGCCCAGAGGGGGATGAGACCAGATAGGATTGCCTAGAATAGGAAGACCAGTTTCCTTGTTTGCCTAAGACTATCCCAGTTCTAGTATTGAGAGTCCCACATCCCGGAAACCTCCTCAGCCCCAGCTAAACCTCTGGTTGGCCTATGGAGCCAGGAACAGAGCCAAGATTAGACCCGCATTTTCATTTTCTGCTCTGATCTTCCCTGGGATGGGGACAGGGTTTGAGAGGGAGGTGATTGAGGAATACTTCATGTTCCCTAATCACTTGGTTCTGTTTCTTATACAGCAACAAGAGCTGCCAGATGCAGAGAAATATGAAATTAATAAATTCCACTTCAGTGACTCGCCCCTTAACAGAACTGGAGCTAGTGGGCCTCCTTCCTCACACCTGCCATCTTGGCTCTGTTTCTTCCCCCGCCCTGCCTTCCCCTTTCCCTCCCCCCCCCAAACACACACACACAAGGAGTGATTTGTACCTCTGATTGCCCTTCTAGACTGGAAAGCTGAAACGATACTTCACGGACCTGGAGGCCCTGGCCATGGTCACAGCTGCCTTCTGCCATGACATTGACCACAGAGGCACCAACAACCTCTACCAGATGAAGTGAGTCAGCCCTCACTGGTGGAGCTCACTCTTTAGTTCTTCAGGGCCCCCAGACACAATCACAGACTAAGAGGAAGCCCCACTGTCCAGTTTCCCATTTCCTCTGCCCTTGGGGGCCAGGTCCACTCCTGAGGTAGATAGAATAATAGAATATGAGGTAGCTGGAATAATGAGCCCTGGAAGATGTCTGCCTCTCAGCCCCCAGAGTCTGGGAGTATGCTTACACTCAAAGGGCACCTTGAAGATGTGGTCACATTAAGGTTCTTGAATAGAGGGATTATTCAGGTGGGCCCCGTGTCATCTGAAGGTTCCTTATAAGAGGGAGGCTGAGGTCAGAGAGGAGAGAAGATGTTACCCTGTTGGCTTTGAAGATGGAGGAAGGGGCTATGAGCAAGAAATACAGGTGACTTCTAGAAGCTAGGAAAGGCAAGCCTATGTTCTCTCCTAGAACTTCCACAAAGAAAGTAGCCCTGCAGACTCATTTTAGACTTCTGAACTCTAGACCTATAAGATAATACATTTTTTATTGTTCTAAGTCACTAAGTTTTTGACTGTCATAGCAGCAAGAAGAAACTAACACATTAAACTCCTTCATTCTCCACCTGTCCTGCTCTACCCACTGATCTAATTTGAACCAAGAGAATGAACCAATAATGGCTCGTTTGCCCACCTAGTGTTTATGATGCTCATAATACATGATGTGGTAGGCTACACCAAGAGGTACCATGGTACAGCCCCTGTCCTCTCAGAGTGCATGTTCCAGACAGCCGCTGAAGCACAGTTCATCCATGGTCTTGTTGGATTCTCATGACCACCCTGTGGGCTGAGCAGAGCAGGGACTAGTATTAGCTCTGTAATTCAGAGGAGGAAACTGAGGCTCTGACCAGGGTGCAAGGCCTGTAAGTCATTAACGAGCACTAGAATTCGTGGTTCTCTGAGTCTTCTCAATATGTCCATGCTGCCTTCAGACTAGAGACTATTTACCTTTATGCTGTGGGACTCTAAGTACTGAGCCCAGCCCTGGCACATAGCAAGTACTCAACAAATATTGATTCCATAAAGAAATGAGTAAACACACTGCTTGTGAGAATTCAAAAGCCTCCTCTAAGACTTAAATAGGAAGGATCAGGGACTTGGTGATCTTTGAAGCATGGCCTGGTGACGATGTCCATGGCTGGCTATAGGGTATCCATGAATCTCTAAAACTGCATGTGATCGTGTGTGTTTATGCCTTTTTCGGGGGATATATATATATACATTTTAATAATTATTTTATTTAACTTTATTTATTTATTTTAATTTGACTAGAGAGGGACAGAATGAGAAAGAGAGAGAGAAAGTGAGAAAGCAAGCCACCAGGTCCAGCACTCAAACCATGGTTGGTCATGTGGGAGTCCAGTGCCCTTAACCACCCCACCACCTGCCAGCCCCTCCATATTATATATTAACATATTCTCTGAAGAGTTCATGACCTAAACGATGCTCAATCACTTGTAGAGGAAGCTAAAGACTAGAGTCAGGAGACTGACTACTCAGTGCGAACTCTCTGTAGTCTCACTGCATGATCTTGTGCAAGTCCTTGCTCATTCCTGAACTTCATTCTCTCTGCCTGCAGAAGTAGGAGGCGGCAGGAACTGGATAATGTCTTTAACTTCCATCTTGGTCATTCCATATGGATTCATTCATTTTCTCTTTAAATCTTTCTTTCTCTTCCTCATTCAGATCCCAGAACCCACTGGCCAAGCTCCATGGGTCCTCCATCTTGGAAAGACATCACTTGGAGTTTGGCAAAACATTGCTCAGAGATGAGGTAGGATGAGGGTTCCCTGCACTGGCCTGAGGACCTGGGCCAGGAAAGCCCCATCAAGAAGCTTAAGCATGGCCCAGTGTGGTGGTGCACACTGCTGACACTGTGCTCCATAGTCTGAGAACACATGGGAGGCCAGGGTTCAATCCCCAGTCCAAGCTAAAGACTGCGTACAATAACATGTCCCTGTAATCTCAGTGACTTGGGAGATTGAGGCAGGTGGATCATGAGCTCAAGGCTGGCCTGGGCATCAGAGCAAGATGCTGTCTGAAGGAGCTGGGCAGAGTGGCTATGACTGTAGTCTCAGCTACGTGGGAGGCCGAAACAGGAACATAGTGACACAACAAATCTCTCTCTCTCTTTTTTTTTAAATTTAAGTTTTGCTATGGGGCTCATGTGCTTGGCAGAAAGAGAGACAGAGAGAGAGAGAGACATAGAGAAAGAGAAAGTGAGAAAGCACCCCCCCAAGGGAGATGGCCCATCACAATCCCTTCTACTTTATTCCTTTGGGATTTTGGGCACGCACGAACATGTGCCAGGTATGTTTTTCAAGCCACTGGGTCTGGAACTCAAAATGTGCAGTTGACAATGTAGGATCTAGCTGCCTTAACCTCACCGCCTGCTGGGCCAGTGAGATGACAAAGAAAAAGGAGAGGAAGAGGAGGCAGAAGAAGGAGAAGAGAAGGAAGAAGAAGACGACGAAGCAGCAGCAGCAGCAGCAGCAGTCTGAGTGTGCCCAGGCCTAGGCAGCACCTTTTCCATTGGCCTGGCCTGCCCCTACCAACATCTGGGCTGCCCATTGGTTGCTGAGTGACTTTACTGCCCAATCACCTCTCCCACCTCGCCTCTGCTTTTTCCTTAGAACTTGAATATCTTTCGAAACCTCAGCCGCCGACAGCATGAGCATGCGATCCACATGATGGACATTGCCATCATCGCCACGGACCTCGCCTTGTATTTCAAGTTGGTATTTCTCCTCATTGTAATAATAGCTGCTTATGATAACAATGTCCTGGTGAGTTCAGTATGCACGGGGTGCCCACTCGACACTGTGCTAAGGGCACATTAACTCTCCCTACAACCCTGTGGTTAGGAACTATTTCTGCCATTGCTCAGCTGGGAAACTGAGACCCAGGACAAGAGGTTTGCTAAGATTAGATGACAAATCAGTGGCAGAGTCTGCGTTGAAACCTGGGTCTTCACTCTCAGGCTTTGGTTCTCTGAACCTCACTTTATTAAGCCTCCATCTGAAACAGCCCATGTTGGAAGCCCAAAGTATAGAGAAGGATAGCAAGTGAAAGGCATGACATTAGTGGGACACAGAAATGGTTTATTACTGGGACCAGCAGTTAGCATAATGGCTATGTCGCTGGACTCCCATGTAGTCGACCACGGTTCAAGTCCTGGACCCGGTGGCTTAAACTCACACTGGGTGCGTGTGCGTGCATGCCCAAGATCCTGAGAGGAGAATGGAGGAGAAGGGATTGCAGTGTGGCCACCCCCCTGGGGGGTGATTTATTGCTTTCTGTCTCTCTGTCTCTCTCTGTCTTTCTGGCAAGCGCATGGGCCCTATAGCAAAAAAAACCCCTCCCCAAAAAAAAAAAAAAAAAAAAAAGGAAAAGAAATGGTTTATTACCTGTTGATGATAACATGTATGGTATTCTCAGCTGGACTGGTCTGAGAAGTATTTCATGTTGGGTAAATTCTTTTTACAAGCCAAATGATGTATAGTGATTGACTGTAAAAAATAATGAGAATAAATAATAATAATAGTAATCTGAAAAAAATGATGAAAAGCTATTTAATGATGATGATGTGGATAGTAATGTCTTTGTCTTGACTGATATGCATGGTAATCGTGCTGGAAAAAGAAAATATGCTGCAAAGATTCAGGTGATTCAATGTAATATAAAAATTATGATAATAATAAATAAAATAAAAAGCCCAGAGCTTGACATGTTCTAAGATTTGTTCCTTAGAATAAACTGGTGTGTTTTGTAGGAAGAGGGCGATGTTCCAAAAGATCGTGGATCAGTCTAAAACATACGAGAGTCCCGAGGAGTGGACGCAGTACATGATGCTGGAGCAGACGCGGAAGGAAATCGTGATGTGAGTTCAGACAGGAGTCAACCCGGAATCCTCTTAGGCCCCGGGCCATGAAGGGCTGTACTGAGAGCTTCCGCTGTCCTCAGCGAGCCGGGGCCACTTTCCCCTTGGAGGCTGCCAACATATGAAAATATGAAACCGAGCCTCACGAGTTATGACATACGTTTCATCTTTATTTTAGTTCTAAAAATACAAGGCAGTATTACTGTTTTATTTTCCTGTACACAAAGAGCGTCATAGTTGAAGTATTTTGATCATAAAATCTAGGATTTGGGTGGTACAGTGATGTAACTTTTGAGTTTTTGGTAAAATAAAAAGCCTTTTACTAATTATAATTTGAGTGATAGCTACATGTCACTCAACTATAGAGACTTAATTAGAAAAAAATTTTTTTTAATTTGCCAGAAGGCGCATACACACATTGGAGATAGATGCTAGGGGGAGAGGGTGACAGAATGAGAAAGCACCCCCCCCCATGGGGAATGGTCATCCTGCCATATCTTTTCCTCAATTTCTCCTTCCTTTTAGGATTTTGGGTACGCACACATACACATCTGATGTGTCTTTCTAGCCATCAGGTCTAGGATTTGCACTGCACACTTGGGCGTGTGGATCCAGCAGCCACCAGTTGGCCTGAGATATAATTTTTCACCCCTCCTACTGGCAAAGATAAAAACATTTGATCTTTTCACTCCTCTGTGTTGAGCAGAATAGGGGGAAACAGAAAGTCTCAGATAATCTCATTCACCATCGTGGGAATGTAAATAGACACAGGATCCATGGAAGGTAATTTGGCTGTGCCTTGTAAATGCCCTGGGTAGCTCCATAGTACATGGGGTTAAGTGCAGTGCTTTGGGAGCTGGATCCCACATGGGTGACCACAGTTCAAATCCCAGCTCTGGGGGGTTTTAAGAAACACTCTGGGTGCATGTGTGTACATGGCACAAATCCTGATGCAAGGGGGAATGCAAGAAAAAAGAATTATGGTGTGACCACTCCCTGTCGAGAGGCTGCTTGCTTTCTCGCTCTCTCCCTCTGGCAAATGCACACAACCATCCGGCAGTAACATATGTTCTAATTGCAGCATTGTTTGTAATCACAACTTAAGTACCATTAGTTAGGGACCGGGTTAAATAGGTTAGGGTACTTTCATATAATCAAATATCATACAGACTTTACAAAGAAATGATATAATATAAAAGATAAAAGATTTGGGACCAGCAGATGGCGAAATGGCTACGTCGCTGGATTCCCTTGTAGTTGACACAGTTTGAGTTTTGGACCTGATGGCTTAAACTCACGCCAGGCGCGTGTGCGTGCGTGTCCAAGATCCTGAGAGGAGAATGGAGGAGAAGGGATTGCGGCGTGGCCATCCCCCCTGGGGGGAGGTGATTTCTCACTTTCTGTCTCTCTGTCTCTCTCTGTCTTTCTGGCGAGTGCACATGCCCTATAGTAAAAACCTCTAAAAAAAAAAAAAAAAAGAAAAAAAGAAAGAAAGAAAAGAAAAAGATACAATATTTAGTGAAAAAAATAGCCAGTGCAGTGCATATCATGGTACTCTTAAGTGGAGGTCTTTGGATTGAGGTCCTCATACCCCCAGGGAAACCAAAGCCTTCTAAGAGGTCTGAGCGGGACTAACCCTAAGGGAATAATGGTCTCTTTTTAAATATTGATCTTCTTGAGAAAGCACAAGCATAGTAGGTGAGGCATTCTCCCACCCTTAGGACACGTTCCACAGTCCAGGCACCTCCGCCCTCTCTGCAATCTTCCTCAAGTGCATTGTCCTAGTGCAGACACCTCTGGGCCATCACACAGAGGAGCAATTTGAAAACTGGGGTTTTCAAAGTCTCTTTTCATGAAGGCATCATAAACTCAAGGAAGAGCATTAAGCCTTTCCTGTCCTATATATATATATTTTTCTTCTTTTTAAATTTGCTATAGGCCATGTGTGCTCGCCAGAGAGAGACAGGCAGGGAGAGATAGAGAGAGAAAGTGAGAGAGCACCCTATCCATCCCCCAGGGAGGATGGTCATGCCACAATCCCCTCTCTGTTTTCCTTTCTGGATTTTGGGAACACCCATATGTCTTTCAAGGTGCTGGGTCAGGGACTCAAACCGTGCTGTTGGCCATGTGGGATCCAGCCACCTTAACCACCATACCACCAGCTGGCCCCCTATATATTGTGTGTGTTTTTGTTCTTTTTTTCTCTTTAAAACAGTTTTTTTCTTGGCCCTTTATGTGTTCACACACACACACACACACACACACAATTTCCCTTCCCTTTCACACAGAACTCTTCTGACACCAGATATGTGTGGTTTTCTTTCCCACGATTCTCTGATTCTCTGTGGTCATCAGCTGGGTGCCGTATAACTCAGTCCAAGCTGAAGGCCCATTTCCGCATGACTGCCCCCACTTCAGATGTCAGCTGTGAGTCTGGACCTCTTAGACTGACCAATCAGCTACAAATCAGGGATTTGCACAACCCCCTCCTCAGGTGTGATAACTTGCTAGAACGCCTCATGCAACTCAGGGCTACATTTTACTTATGTTTACAAGTTTATTATACCAAAAGACAACATTACAATTTAGTTTAGAGATTTTTTAAAAAATTGTTATAAGGTGGGGACTAGCAGTTAGCATAATGGCTATGTCGCTGGACTCCCATGTAGTCGACCGCGGTTTGCATCCCAGACCCGGTGGCTTAAAACTCACGCCAGGCACATGTGTGTGCGTGCCCAAGATCCCAAGAGGAGAATGGAGGAGAAGGGATTGCAGCATGGCCATCCCCCCCAGGGGTGATTTCTCACTTTCTGTCTCTCTGTCTCTCTCTGTCTGGCAAGTGCACGTGCCCTATAGCAAAAACCTCTCAAAAAAAAAAACAAACAATTGTTATAAGGTGTATTTACTCACCAGAGAGATAGAGAGAGGGAGAAAGAACCTCTCAATGGGATGTAGTCACACCACATTCCCTGTTTCTCCATTTCTCCATTCTGTCAGGATTTGGGGAATGCACACACATGTGCCCAGCATATTTTTCAAGCTTCAGGGACTGGTATTTGAACCTAAGTTGGCCATGTGGGCTCTGGCTCCCACTTTAAAAAAAAAAATTATTTGTCTAATTTTACTTATTCTTTTATTTATTTTAATTATTTGGCCAGAGAGAGAGATACAGAGAGGGAAAGAAAGAGAGAAAGTGAGAAAGCAAGCCACCAGGTCCAGGACTTGAACCGTGGTTGGCCATGTGGGAGTGTCCTGTGCCTTAACACATGTTGACCACATGCTGACCCCCTGGGATCTGGCTCCCTTAACCACTAGGTGACAGGGCCAGCCCAAGTTTAGAAGTCTTAATTGGCTTTATTTTGTAATTCTAGAATCAGGCACCACTTCATTTTATTAAATAGTGTTTCCGGGTCAGGTTAGGTAGAGCAGTAGTCCCACAACCGGACCCACAAGGGAGCGTACCTGGGTTCCTGTACTGGGACCTCCCTGAGCTCACGGGGTCTAGGAGAACATGGCCAGGAATCTAGAGTGGCCAAGTCTGGGGTAGATCATGGTGAGTAGACCCCTTGGGAGTGAGGTGGGGTGGGGTGGGGAAAGTGTCTCTATTCTTTCTCTCTCTCTGTTTCTCTCTCTCATAGGAGAAAAAAGTCAATAAACTGTAAAATAAAGGTGTCTCAATGCATCGAGCAAAAGAAGTTGGTTTTATAGACAAAGACTGAAAAGGCAGAAATGAGGAACACAAAGCAGATCCGTCATTTCAATTTGCTTACCTTGTGAGGTGAGAGCAGGGAGAAGACAGTAGATGAACCCAAGTTAACACAGGTCCCTTCAGGTTCCTTTTCTTGTGTAATGATTAAACCAAGGGAACTTCACTGTCACGTCTACAGAAATGCCTGTTTGGGAAATTCTCCTGGTCCCTGGGAAGGTCAAGTAAACAGCATAGTTTCAGCGTGGTGAGGTGAAACTTTTGCATGAGGTACT